TCAAAAAGTAAAAAATTCTTGCAGAAGGCGCTTGAGAAGGTGCATAAACAACATTCACTAAAATGTGCCAGCGAACTAAATTAACTAGCACGTCTGGGCCCCAAGGACCATCTGCAACGCCAATGGTGTATGTATGTTTTGATGAGGTGTTAGAAAAGCCAGGTGGGGATCCATCATTATTGCTGACATGGGCTGAAGAGGGCAGGTTGCACAGCCAGCAGCCCACAGAGACTGCTATGGATATATAAATTTTCGTCTGCACTTTATTTCCAGGAATACTGTGTGACCCTCTTGCCCATTCTTATTAGAGATGTGCAAAATGACTTAAAATTACTTTTTAAAACCAACAAATGCTCTTTAAATTAGGTTGACTTCAGATTTGCCTGACCCAGATGAGATGCAAGTTGATGTTTTAAAGTGTATGTATTTAAAGACATGGTGAAGGTTGTACCATGCAAACAAATAAATAATCAAATATTATTTAATATTAATTAAACATCTAGTTAACTATTGTGACCTTACTGTAATTTTACTAGTAATTTAAGTTGCAAACATTTTTAGAAATGAAAGCAAATAGCAATTAAAGACAACATTAAACATTTTAGTTCCATAATTACAAAAAAAATGTAATTATGGAAATGGAAAACACATTTTGAAAGATAACAACTTTTTTCTTTAGACTAACATGCACTAAACCCCCTTCGCACAACAACAAAGACATTAAGTTAGCAAATAGGTAAAACTTATTAAATTTAAAGACAATTTGGAACAAATACCCAATTAAAATGTTTCTATCACCAATACGTGAAGCTAAAATAAGTGCATGTTACTACAGTCACAACCAGGGTCTTCAGTCTGAAGTAATTATGGGTAAAGGTGTCGAGGAGTCTGGATAAGACAGAAACAGCTGGTCTGTGTCCTGCTCCTTCAACCCGTCGATTTCAGATCAGATTTCAGAGTCCCAGATGGAGGGAGAACAGCTGCAGAGGTCTAACAGCAGAGCTTCATACACAGACTGGTACCACTGTCACTAGTGTGAGCAGCCCGGGGGAGATGAGAGAGGATTCCAGAGCAGGCCGTCATTCGCACTGCAGTTTTAGGAGCAGATGTGACAGGCTTAATCTACTCTGATTAAATCAATCTTCTGCTTACTGACAGGACATTATAGACAACACATCACATATTCTTCAGGAATGCATCCATGATCAACACGATCTCCGAAGACACACATACTTTAAACGCATTTGTTCCCCATATTCTTAAGCAACAAGAGGGATGCAGGGACAGGCAATAGACTCATAGGTAGAACAGGCGCCAACCCATAAAAATTTTGTCCAGGTTCCTGTGAACTTAAGCTACGGCCCTGTCGTGATATAAAATTACTCACACTGTGATATTACACTTTGGTCATATCCCCAGAGGGACAAATATCTAATTCAACTGTGAATTTCACTCTCTCGGAGCAGCCTGGTTGCTGTCAATCATCTGATAGAAGCTGTCAATCACTGCAAGAGAGATCCAGTGCTTCATTATTAAGCAAGTGCTAATGGACACCATGACAAAACCAATCTTCTTGCCTAGAGATTGTGCCAATTTATCCATTCCTCCTGCTAACATGTCCGTTTCTCACATTCCCAAGCCCTCAGTCTTGAATGATAAATGGATGAATGAGAGAGCAGAATGAAAGAGATTGTATATGGGAGGGGCTCAGGATTCCAACTGCAGTAGAGAAACAGAAATCAAATTCATAAGGCCACGGCCAAGCATTACAAAATCTCTCACACAGCGAGATCTGTGGACACATGTACGATCAAACAAGCCAGAGCTCTTGTATTACTACAAAGTATCTGTTTGGAAGCTGTCATACATGTATTACACAACTGGGATCCCCAGCACAAGTATGTGAGAGAAAGAGAGAGAGAGAGAAACTACGTAGTGTTTCCACTCCTCCGCTCTGTTCTGGGTCCCTAGTGAGCCTCTCAGTATGGACTGACTGGAGCACTGTGTCGACAAGAACCAGGGAACAATGAGAACCTTTCATCAGCTTTATTCTCTCTCCAACTACTGTTGTTTCTCCAACTCTCCTCCTTTCTTTTTCCCCCCTTCACCCATTATTGCTGTTCTAGGGATTTCGTCAGAGGGCAGAGTCTGACTGTGGCTCTTTTCTTTCTCATATGTTAGGGAACCGTGCCAGAGAAGTTCACCTTTGCTCCAGGTGCAGCTGTCACCAAAAAAAAAAAAAGGAAAAAAAATGTACAAACTATACAAGCTATTAAGAGACAAGGAACTTTTCAACGCTTATCAATTTTTAAAACACGTGATCAATGTTGGTTTTGGTAAACTGGCGTTGGGTTGGGTCACTGGGGCTCTTGCTTGGTGAGGTGTATGTGAGCGGAATGTGGTACAAACATGAACATGCCCAAAACTAGAAACTCAGCAATGAGGATTTAAGCTAATCCTGAACCTGCAGCTGCAAAAATCAACATTAAGACAATTAATTTTCAACCTATATCAAACGTGTGCCACAATCAAACAACGAGAATGTTTAACTGATAGCACAAACTTGTGGTAGACTCATTTAAATAAGCAGGAGGCAGCTGGTGAGGACTGTGGGTGTCTTGAGGTTTTAGTGCTCAGTGAAAAACAGACGTGCAAAATTCTGCCTTTAGAGTTTGCATTAGAAGACAAATCCCTTGAATATCAACACTAGGGCTTGCTTTTAATTAATTAATTTATTTTATTTTTAATTGTAATTAATTTCTTCATTTTTATTTTTTAAAATAAATAAAATAAATAACATTTATTAGTCTTTGTATCACACACAACTGTTCATAAGTTTTTATTTTTTAAAGAAATTAAATCTTTTACATCACTACATAAAATCTATTTAATATAAAAATGCTTTGAACTTTCTATTCATCAAAGAATCCTGAAAAAATAATGTATCACAGTTTCCACAAAAATATTAAGCAGCACAACTGTTTACTGTCAACATTGATAATAATAAGATGTAGCATATTAGAATGATTTCTGAAGGATCATGTGACACTGAAGACTAGAGGAATGATGCTGAAAATTAAAATTTGCCATCACAGGAATAAATGACATTTTGAAATATATTAAAACAGAATATTGTTATTATAAATTATAATAACATTTCATAATATTACTGCTTTCACTGTAGATGTGATTAAATAAATGCAGCCTTGATGAGCATAACATACTTCTTTCAAAGCATTGAAAAAATAATCCAAACCTTTGAACAATAGTGTTTTTAGTAAACATACAGCAAGTAAATATTGCCGTTATTTATTACTATAGTAACTGGTATACTGATAGACATAAAACAGTAAAAATCTAGTTTAAAATCATGTAAAATAACTTGATCACAATTTTATTAAATTATTATATAAATATTATTTTCAAAGAACAATTAAATATTTTCATTTAGTTCATTAGTGAAAATCATTTTTGTCATCCGTTTTAGTTATTAAATCCAACAATTTTTACAAACAAACCTGCATGTATTTTAGAGTAAAGACATAAATTGAGCATTGTTAAAAGGCTAATAAATATTGAACTTTTCTTATTAGCTACATTGCCCAGCCCTATTGCAGCCATGTTACAGAAGGAAAAAGTGGACAGAAACGCAGTGGCATGGGTGCATCATAATACTAAATAATTTTAGCACTAAAATTACAGTGCTTGACTTCATATTGAGAAGTTAAAATGCGCTTTGATAGTCAACAATGCAAAGATAATAAAGCCTTTGACGTTACTAATGCAAAGATAATCATATCCTTCACTGGAGTATCCAGGGAGGAGGGCGACTAAGTGTGCATACGCTATCTATGACAATCCCTTTCTCATGGTGCCAAGTTACTCGACGGTCATTTCCCAGAACACAGGACCTCCCATCAATAGCTTAAAATGATCCCTATAAAACTCCCATCAAACAATAAAACACAACATGGACTTTAAATAGCCCTGGACTTTGAGCTTCTGTCTGGGTGTAGCACGAATTGAACATGTTTCAGACGTCCCTTTTGCTGTTTATGAGCCAAGTACAGATACGTGAATGAAAATTGGAAGAAATCCAGTTCTGTATGACAGTCTCCGGGGCAGCAAAATCTCTTCACACATCTGACAGAAGTGTCCTGGAATAAAAATGGATTTTGGGTGCCCATTTCCTCAAAGGCTTTTGTTTACTCATGTTTTAGAGGCCAAACTGAGCCCACAGAGAGTGTTAGGAGTAACGTCATAATGACCACTCACCACAACGTCAGTCAATACTTTACTGCGCAGTATGGATAAACCGTTTGCCTGTTTACAAGGATAGCCTTAAACTCCTTTGCATTTATCACAGTGGCCCAGAAAGAGCCAAAAACATAGTTCAGATTAACTTCCATTTCACTCTGGATGGAGAAAAGACTTTCTAGTTTCTACCTTACACTTGACAGTCAGCCAAAGTTAACAAAATGTAAAAAATAATTGGTATCATCTTTCTCGCAAATGAAAACTCCATAACGCCACCCATCAATAAATGTCTTATTCGCTCATTAAAAGAAAATAAAAATCGAGTAAACGTCAACAAACAGTCAAAATGATTTATTGCATTTTCTAAAACAGGGACCGTCTGTGTGCTTTCCTCATTAGCAATTACCCAAATCTGTAAGTAACTTGTTGCTGAGGACAGCAATACTGCATACAATGTTAATATAGGACCTACCCATTGTAATAACGGATTTATATGAACTGTAAAAAGGAATATCTAGAAGCAAAACTCGGAAAGAAAGTCTAGTAAATAATCCTGCCTAATGTAATATTGAAATAGTTATCATTAAAATGTATTCCAAAGCTGCATCGAAAGCCAAAAAAGCCATTTTTAATGAACACTTGCTTTATATAAAATCTTTCAAAATATAAAAAAATTATAACACTCCCATAAACATGGGAAGATGTGACATTTACAGTACTTGTCTTCGCACAAGAGCACTCACCAGTTTGATGGCCACATATTCATTTGTGTAGAGGTTTTTGCCTAGCCGCAGTTCGCCGAAGTTTCCACAGCCGATCTTCTTCCCAACTCTGAAGTTGGGGCCAACCATAAGGACCCCAGAGTTAGTCCCCGTTCCCCGGCCCCCATGTCCAGTCCTACTACTTGCTGTTTTCGACATCCTTTTCCCTTCCTCTGTCTCTTCCTTCCCACCTCTCTTCTCAAAATCCATAAGCTTGTGATACCCTGGCCTCTCCACGGTTACTCCCCTGCCATGCAAAACAGAGAAGTTTCAAAACAACCCCCCAGGAAACGTGTGGGGATGGTGGCGAAAAGACAAAACGGGTGAAGGGGTTTAAAAGTGTATATACTGATGATTTTTGAAGAGCAGAAACCGATGTCTTCTGCAGACGTGGTGGGTATCACCGAAAGCGTAGTCCTTGCATTAATCCTTCGGTGGATGGGACTCCGTGCGGAGAACAGCCCGTTTGAGAATTACAAGCCTAACAGTGCCCGTATCAGTTTCCAATTCCAACAGGAACTTTGACGACACCTGTGCGGTTGATAATGGAGAGGGGAAGCGGTGTAGAAGGTCAGAGATCTCTGTTGCACACCACCCCCTCTCCCATCCAGGGTCAGCATTGCTGTTAATGTAAATGGAAAAGAAAGTCGGAGCAGGTAATGCAAGAACTATTGGAAAGACGGATGCGCTTTCCTTCAGAAAATGCACTTAAAACGATCAATGGCAGCCTGACTGGCTGTAAAAGGATACCAGACCAGAGCTGATGAGCAATATACAATCAGCTCGGCAGAAAAACATCATTGA